ATAAGGCACTTAAAAAAAAAGACAAAATTTTTATTTAATGATTATAAAACTGCTTCCCTGTCTATCATTCTCTGTCACCCCACACAAACACATGTACTCATATACCACCCACTCGCTTCCTCTCTTTGCAAAGTGTGAACGCACAAGGCCAAGCCCACACTAAATATCATGCCAGCTGTGCTCAGCAGTGTTATAAGCATTAAGTATAAGCACAGTGAACTGAGGCAGTAGATGAACAGCTTTAATAATATGTCCAAGGTAAAATGAATACAACATCATAAAGCTTTGCAGCTTAGTTGCCACATACATCACCATACTGGTATCATTTTTTTTTAAATCAACATGAATAAGAGCCTTAAGATTGGATTTTTTTCACAATCTGGCATCTATAGCAGGTCTTATTCATTGTTAACAGCAAATTTGGCTGCATAGATACAAAGCAGGGAAAAAGGAAAATCATTACATACAGTACTGTGTAGTCAGTGCTAGTTGAAAACTTATTTTGAAGTTGTAGGCTGCAGAAAAGACTTTTAAATCTTTTAATCCTAAATAGATTTATTTTAAAGAATGCACAGGTATCAGTTTGATAACATTTTGGATTAGCTGAAATTTTAGAGACAATTACAATCAATATGAGCAGTCAGTTAAAAACAGATTTATGTCTAAAACAAGATCCAAGTGAAAAGTATGTGCCAGCTTTTTTTTAAATCTGTATTTAATCAGTCTTAGCTGTCAGTGTCATTCACAGTGAACTGGTATTGTTTTTCACAATGAAAATATTGAGCAGTACAATTGTGCTTATGCCTCTTACACAACACAAAATAAATCAAACTGGCAAAAAGGAAATACTTTGTAAAAAATTTTTTTGTAAATGGTGAATGTCTGTTAAAGAAGGAAAAGTGAGTATCTCTCTAGTGATGTCATTGTTTGTCCACCTCCCTAAAACAGAAGCCAGAATGTGGCGTATTTTCTCCTTAGGCATTTGAAGTATGTCAGTGCCATAAATGTCCTGAGCTTTTCATCACTTCACAATAATGTGTATTGTCTAGCCAGCTGTTTGTGGTTGGCTGATAAAACACTAAGGGGACACTTTTCAGCTATAATCTTCTCCATCCTTCTGCTTCCCTCTCTTTCACTCACCCACTCACTCACTCCGTGACAAAACTAGCTGGCTGGGAAGGATGGAAAAATGATTAGCTTCGGAAATAAATGTGGTTGTGTTTCCGTGGCCACACTCACATTGTGGACACACCTTCCCACTAATGCACGCATTTCTACACTCTTGCAATATGTGAGTGTATAGTTCAGCTGCACTCAGGACAATCTCCCGGTCACGTACGCACACACATACAGACACTGAGTGATTACTATGTGGGACACAGCACTGAAGGTTTCTCTGAGTCTATCCGTCCTAAGTGGTCAGCTCACGTTACTGCAGGGTTGTGCCCCCTGCTGAGGTTGGAAGTTAAAGGTGAGCTGACTCAAGGCCCAGACTTGACCTCTGTGATGGTTTTATCTACAGTAACTGATGGCACACCAGGTAGCACGTAGGAGATAGAAGTTGTGCCCCAGTTACAGACTACCTGCATTCTAACTATGTTCACGAAATTATTAAAAAACAAATGACAACCTTTACAGAGAAATTTAAACATATTTAAATTTTTAAAATTAGAATAAACTGTTAAATAGAAATGTTTGAAGTGCAGTTTTACTTGACCCACTGGTGCACACATTGCCTCATTGTTTGTTAGAAAAAAATGCTAATGTACATAATTCTATTGTATATGAACAGCCAAACAGTGTATTATGCTGGCAGATTAGTGTATGCTTTATTGGGTTAATGAGCAGAAGGTTTGTTGGTGCGTATATGTAGATGCATTTGAATCACTTTAAGAATCTGCCCAGGGAACACAGTCAGCTCCTATATCAGACTTGTATAAGATGGCAGAGGGATATCCCTGGGGAGTTTAGACCTGACAAGAGAATGAATCACCCTATTAGACTAGCTCCTCTCCTCAAACAAGCTGCCAGTCTTTCGGCGCAAACCGTCATATACCGCCTACAACCTCAAGTCGCCATTCACCGTGACATGCAGGCAGAGCGGTCACTTCTCACACTGGACACTGTGTGTTTGTGTGTTGCAAGGCTGAGCATTTTCTGACCTTGTTTGTGTTTCTTTAGGTCCTCATAAATAAACAAACTGCTAAGGTCTGTAAATTTCCAGTGGTCTGAGAACACCTTCTCTGTCTTCAAGCTCGCTTTCTGGCTTTCTCCATGTTTATCTGGCTTCCCTCAGGTATGGAGAGAGCACTACAGCTGGGGGACTGGTGCTTTTTCCACTTCCCAAGAGTCAGTGATAATCTAGAACATAGGGGGAAAATGTAGCTACAAGTGGTCAGAAAGTTTGTGTACACGAGAAGTGTAAGGCACGTTGAAAGACCAAAACATCACACTCGTATTCATATAATAAAGATTTAAAGAAGAGGAAACAATGCTATAAAGGGCTAGGAACGAAACCTAAAATGTAGCTGAGTATGCTAAAATAAACTGAGATATAACCAACTGTAGAGATAAGAAAGAAAAACACCCGTCAATCTAATATGATATAGTTTCTGTTTTAACATTATTATATCATGTATATTTTCAATGCAATATTAAAAGGAGAAGAGGAACTTAATATCACACCATTTTAACTGTCCAAAACATAATTTTTGACTTCAGTCTGACAAACTCAAACTAAAATAAAAATGCTCACCCTGCAGTTCAGCCTCTACCAAGCTGCTAAACTAGGTAGCTACAACTATGACTGCATAGACTAAAATAATACAGTGGGAATTGAAGTTGGAATTATAGTAAATACTTAAGCATTGCAGTAGGGTTGGCTTTTTCTTGTTTCTCTGTTTCTTGATTTATCATAACAGGAAAAACACAGGTGTAACTACTGACACTAAAAATACATTCCTTTTAGGTGCTCCCATCATTGTAAGCTAACTGGAACACCTTAATATAACATTTCCATAATTAATGCAGTTAGCTTTAACTGTTCTTTTTCTGCTATAAGTCAGAATGTCTGCTGTGAAAAGGTCTATTAGCTGCCAGCAAACTGTGAAAATTATGAAACTGACTATGAAAAATAGAAAAAAAAGACTTGTATCTGTTTGATTAGATCAGATCAAGAACCATTAACAGACTAGACTGATCTCTCACCAGATCTCCATGGGTCAGATGCTGCAGGACTTTGGAAAGTTTTTGGGCCTCTTCCTGCTGGTGTTATTCTCCTTCACCATTGGACTCACCCAGCTCTATGGAAAGGACAAGAAAGACAAAGACAAGAATTCATCCAAGGACTGTGAGGGCATCTTCTGCGAGCAGCAGAGCAATGATGCATTCCACACGTATGGACCAACCTCAGTCTGACACTGTGAACAGCAATGATAAATGCTTGGCTGTATAAATACAGCTTGTAAAGTCAGAGTCATGTTTTTGTGATACGTTATTTACCTGTAACATTAGATGGCAGTCAAATATAATTTTTTGGATTATTTTGTGAAATGCATCTGACAGACACATTGCTTGAATGCCCACTGAGATTCTCCTGGTTCACAGGTTTATGGGGACCTGCTACGCCTTGTTCTGGTACATCTTCTCCCTGGCACACATTGCGCTCTTCGTCACCCGCATCAACTACACGGAGGAGCTGCACTCTTTCGTGGGTGCCATGATCATAGGCACGTACAACATTGTGGTGGTCATTGTCCTGACCAAGCTGCTGGTGGCCATGCTCCATAAAAGCTTCAGACAAATCGCTGTAAGTGTAAACAACTTCTGGTACACAAGTTTCACTATGCTGTCAAGAGTATTTTGAGTTCAGCTTGGTTTCTGTTTCCTTTGAACAACCTTTTGATTTTGATTATGTAGAGGAAAACAGCACATTGCTCAGAAAAGCCCGCCCCCTCGAGTGGTTCTGTGTTTTCACGATTTCTCTTGGAGAGCAGTGTGTGGAAGTTAATTCTCACATTCCTGTGTGCTTGGCGTTCTTGTTGACTTTCGGACCTCTGCAGAATCACGAGGATAAAGAGTGGAAGTTTGCTCGGGCCAAACTGTGGCTCAGCTACTTTGATGACAAGTGTACCATGCCACCACCGTTCAACATCCTCCCCTCCCCAAAGACTGTGTGCTACTTGGTTACCAGCATGAGCAAGTGGATCTGTTCACATACTTCAAAGGGCAAGGTGAAACGACAGAACAGCCTCAAGGTAAGAAAAATAGGAAAAGCAAATTGTGGTAGGAAAGTGGCTGCCAGTGCAGCTTTGTGATTTGGTCTAGATTATTTTCTAGAAGGAAAAATTTAGTTTCATTCCTCAGTCTTACACAGACATCTGTGCTTTTGTACTAACTGATCTGAATTCCTTCACTGTCTTTTCCATCTAGGAGTGGAAGAACCTGAAGCAGAAGCGAGACGAGAACTACCAGAAGATCATGTGTTGCCTGGTTCACCGCTACTTGACTTCCACCCGGCAAAAGATGCAGAGCACCGACCAGGCCACCGTGGAAAATCTGAATGATCTACGCCAAGACCTCTCCAAATTTCGCAACGAGATGCGTGACCTGCTGGGCTTCCGGACATCCAAATACGCCATGTTTTATCCCAGGAGCTAAACAAAGACTAGGTATCTCTTCCCCTTTTCCCTGTTTTCTTGACAATATCTCTGCTTCTTGTTTATCGGGGATTCTGTGTGACCCAAGCATGTGCACAAACTCTGCTCTCTGAGTTACAGAGGCAGTATTCTCCACCAAAGTCTCCAGACTCAGGCCCCCTATGTATTATTCTCAGCTATTCAACTTGTTTTGTAAATAAAGAAAGTCATTGTTTTAAACAGAAAGACAAATAAAGATTTATGGAAAACTTTGACAAGCTGGGGCTTTAATGGTTTACAGAGCTGATCCATTTTGCTGAATACAAATCCTGCGTTTGAGATTTGAAGTTATTGTTGAATTCTTTCCTTGAAAATAGATCTTTGGTGACTTGGGTCTGAAAGCCAGCTGCCCAGCAGTCCAGACCTTGTGAGTCACATTACATACACCTAATCCATTCTCATGCTCAGCAGAGCGTAAGCGGCCTTGACTGATGTCAGCAGAAGAGAGTCGAATATTGTTTGGTATTATTTGGTTTCCAGCTGAAAGCTTGTACACAAAGACAGACAAGAGGAAACTGTTAAAGGGCTTTTATTTGGGGCAGATGAAAACAATAATATAATATAAATAATATTCACAGACTTTTCCATATGAAAGCATTTGTATTTCATATCTCTCTGCCTTTAAAAACGATGGCAGGTAGAAAGTGATACATGCTGATGGTGGTGCATCTGTAAACAAACTAAAGAGCTTTTGGTTAGGAAGGTTTGTTTAATAAATCCAGTATAAAATACTTTGAAATAATAATGTATCTATTAAATATTGCACTTTAATCACCACATTTAAAACTTCCAAACCACACCCAGTAAAATAAGGTTGAGCACTGTCACTAATCCTATAATCTGAAGTAACAAATTGGTTTGTGTACAAAAGATGCTTAAAGAAATTTAAGATTATTCTGCCAGACATATAATAGTTTAACAAAGATTATATAATGTTAATTTCGAACCTTAATTCGTATTGTGCTCCATAGCCTCAAAGCGAAATTGAAATGCAAAATATGGAAAGTTTTTAAATGAATGGTGCCATTAGGATGTGAGAACAGATGTGCACACTGACATTTTTTAACACTGATTGTTTCACTTATGAAAAATGTCTCTGTGCTGTGTTCCCTGTTCTGGGCTCCTGTTACTGGTTTTAATTATCTGCTAGGAGCGTGACAGGAATGTGGCCAGGCAGCGTACAAATGGCCTGAGACCAGGTGTGGAAATTTTAACCGATGTTGCTGATTAACCTAAGGTTTCAAAACAGATAGAAACATGTCAAATCTTCTTGTTTATTCTAAACACATACAAATTAATAAATGCAAAAATCTGAGTTGTTCTTGAATGAATCATAAAGTCTTTTTTTCTGTTCTGGCAGACCTTGTTCCGGATTCTGTTTTGGTTTTGTGCCCCGTGTTTGTGCTGTTTTTGTGCACCAGTTCGGTGGATATCCTCAGAGCTACCGGAGCTCAGCACTGCTTGTTTTTCAGAACGTTGAGTCCTTTCTGGTTCTTGGTCTTAAACGCCATTACAAAGTGGTGGGGAGCAATTTTCCCCCTGCCCTCGTCGTCCACCTGGCCCATGAAGATGTAGTTCAGGCCTGGTGAGGTCACACAGAAAAAAACTGAATGCAGTGGTGGAACGGCAGAGACATTCAGGGAGGCCAACTATCAGAATCTCCACACCACAGGTCTGTATACACTGAGTTTATATGCATACACATAAACGCTTGTCTGACTGTTTGAACAGCGAGTTCTGCCGCTCACCTCACACCCTGGGGCAGGTCTCTATCGTCTAAGTGTGATGGCACAGCAGAGGAGGCACACTCAGAGCCATAGGTTATTCAAAACAGTCATTCAGGAAGTGTATACTGGTTGTCATCATTTAGATGATGACCAGTTCTCTGTAAACGTCAAAAATAAATTGAGACAATTTAACTCTACCAGCAACCGCACACTCACCTCTTTTGATAAATGGGCACTTCTTGCACAAGATAATGATCTTGGTACTCATGGTCTTTCCTGCCTGCTGGATGGCCAGATTGCCTTCTTTATACACGCTAATGATAGAGACAGTGGCATGCATACTTCCTCCTCTTATCACAGCTGTAACGACAGTTCCGGTGATCACTGTAGACACACGAAAAAGTGAAGAAAAATTTTTACTTGCACAATTACAGAATAAGTATAAACAGACATCCTTTCTCAATTATCACAAAGAGCGTGGGGTTCACACAATAATAAAACTGAGACAAGGATCCAGAGAAGTGGTTTCCCATCAGGATATGATTTAGAGACGTCGGGCTAATGTGTGTAATCCCAAGAATTTGAAGCAAATGTTTCAACATCAGAGATAAAACAGCCTGAAAATTACAGCTGGGGGTTTAACACAGAAACACCTGTAGTTGAAGGAATCTGCTTTTTTTATTGGCATCATCAATAATCTGAGAGAAATGTGAACAATGTGTGCTTACTGTGCAAAAATTCCCGTCTTTGAAGTGCAGCCTGTCTATAAAAGTGTCACGGTGAGCTCACTGCATAACCTCTCTACATTTCCTTTCAGGCTTTCCACACTCTCCTTATGGCCTTTTTATGGCTTGTTCATCCACCATTGAGCTGACAGCTACTTCTCAAATACCCAGAAAATGCAACATCAAGGATATCACTTAGTGTCATTTTTAGACTTTCAAAGCAGGTTATAGCCTGTGACAGAGCCAAGTTAAACGAATAAAGCTGATCAGGACACACAGATTGACCGACATTAACTGTGAATAGAGGCAAGTCGTCATTGGTTTTAGTCTCTTTATAGGGAGTGTTTAAAATGTTGTACAGAGGAAATGACCGGCCTTATCTTTCAAGTGTGTGGTTAAAAAGATTAGAGGTTTGAGATCAGAGTAGAAAGTTGCTATTCACTAGTTTTGTCCAGTATCGCTAAAAAAAAATAGTGCAATGAATGTGCAGGGTAAAGTAGTCATTTGATGTTTAGTCTGGTTGGCTCACCAGAAGTACAAAAAGTACAGTTGTGTTGGACTTCCTGACCGTGGAAGGAGAGACCTGATGTTTAGCAGTAGCCTGGTGAGTTGGAGGAATTCATATCTCATTCAGCACGAACAGGATGCTTTACACTGATGGTGCCAAGGATTTCACATACAGCCTGTTTTATTTCCTGACAGGAGTGAGGCTAGCCAGGGAGTTTTCTGTTTCACTGTTATTTTATCTGTTGCAACAGTTGCATAACCTAATCAGTGGTGGAAAGTAACTAAGTACATTTACTCGACTACTGTATTTAAGTGTAATTTTGTGGCATTTGTACTTTACTTGAATATTTTCATTTTGTTCTACACCATACTTTGACATCACTACATTTATATTGCACTTTTTACTCCACTACATGTATTTAATAACTTTAGTTACTAGTTACCTTTCAGAACCACATTAATACAAAAATTACAGTATTATCAAAAGACTTTATTGGTCTCTGGTGGAAGATTCACAAGCTATCCAGTAGCATGTAAAGTACTTTATGGTAGTTAAAACTAGCTCCCCCTTTACCAGCTGCAACATTAAATGTGATGAACACAATAGTGCATAAGCAATTACAGTTCAATAATATGATATTCATTCAATTTAAATGTGCCTTTCTGCATAACAAGTGCTTTTACTTTTAGTACTTTTAAGTATTTTTTGATGCAAATACTTTGCACTGTTACTTAGAGTAAGTTACATTTTGCATGCAGGCCTTTTACTTGTAGCAGAGTATTTTTACACTGTGGTATTGCTACTTTTACTTAAGGGATCAAAACACTTCGTCCACCACTGTAGCTAATGACAAATCACAGTGCATATACAGTAAATCAATACTGAGAGCCTTGTTGCTTAGACACACTATTTTAAGTCTGTTGTCTAGCTACTTCATTAAAATGGGATGTAAGTTATCGTTGCCCAACCCCGCCCACCACATCACACAGGCAACTTTTTCCACACGCACCACCCCATCGCTGGCTTTTCTTCAGTTGCGAATCCAAGCGAGCTCTTGGAAATGCCAATCTAACACATGTGGTAAACATCTTAGGGAGGAAAACATCAGAGAGTGGGAGAGCAGCAGCAAACATCAAGTCTGAATCAACACATTCATTTAACAACAGCTTACCCACAGTCAGAGGGTGAGAGTCTGTTTACACAAGAAGTAACTGTGTCCTACTGTTTGCACTCCTTCACTTGTTGACAGGCTACCAATGAAGTCTTTGAGATACACAATGAAAAATAAGCTGAGAAAAGACAGCGACATGATCAGGACTGCTTGTTAGGTGAGCTTTGGCTGCTGATGCTAATGTGAGCTCTGCTGATGTAAATGTCAGGACTACTGTACTGCTTAGGTTCTGACTGTTTAGACTTAGCATGTATGCAACAGGGGTTCAGTAATAACATGGGCAAAGCTGGAGCATAGCAACAATTGTTTCTGTGGTTTTAAATAAATTGCAATGATGTCCTTACCAAAATTGCTGGAGCAGTAATTGCTCTCGAGTGTTCTTCCTCTTTTACATTTCTGCTTGCACAAGGCGACGGAGTATTTCAGAGCTGCGGACACACACCAACACAGAAGGTTCAGTATCTGTAAATTAGCCTACCAGTGATTCAAGTATGTGAGTTATGGCTACATCTGCTTCTACTGGCGATTAAGCCTCAGAGAACATGTACAGTGTGAGTAAACAACGTAACGAGATGTGTGAATACCTGCTTTTAGCTTTAGTTATAGTAAAGAGTATATAACCATAAAGAACCAAGTGGAGAGAGAAAAAGCTGTGACTTCTAAACTCCAGAGAACGTGATGCAACAGTATGACAGAAGGGCAGGGAGGTGCCAAAATAACCTGGCTTGACTAAGGGAAAAAATAATGTGTGGGAATGCAAGTCTGAGTCTGAAAATGAGCTGTGATTACAGGTAAAAACGTGCCCACACTATAGGAACTTTACAGTTTACACAAGAGAATGTGGGTAAAACAGTTTTAGCATATGCTGTGTTTGAACATGTGCTGCTGTTGGCCACATCTATAGGCTTGCAGTCTCTGGTACTGTATGTTCTATTAACCCTTTGTACCGCAGAGAAGGATTCTTCACCACTTTTTGTAAATGTGTATAGATCCACTGTTTAGTTCAACTTTTTTGGTTAATTTACTGTGTTTAGGTATTTTATGTGACCAGAGCACTTATGTTAGATATTTATGCAGCTGTGATTCTGAACTAATGAATATAAGGACTGTAAATAACATTTTGAAGGAGTTAACTGCCACCACATTGTGTTCTTACTTAAGCAGTACACGTCACTTATTCAATTTCTTGCCCAGATCAGCTACTGGAGGCAGATTCCTGATCCCCTTCATATTTATAGCAAAAGATAAACCCCACATGTTAGGAAAAGAATCCAGTTATACAAAGCCAGTGTAGTCTCACAGCTACATCAACAAATACAGATGGTAGATGTAGATGCTCTTTAGGGGTTTTAGAGGATAAAGGTTGATACCTACGTATGGGCCTGGTGGTGACTGGCTCTGTGGTAGTGGTGGGTGGTACTGTGGTGGTGGAGAATTTCTTTGGTCTGAACTTGTAATGGCCAATGAAGCCATCTGCGGTTAAACTGAGATCTGACAGGAATTGGATTAGGAGCTGGTTCCTGTCAGAGAACACAGGCCTGCAAAGAACCAAGCAGACTGAGGATAAATGCAGGCAAAGCTGTTCTGGTAACAATCAAATATTCTGCATGACAGAATAACCTACGCTGGGGGGCTGTCTCCACAGTATTTGCCGATCCTCTTGGCATCATTTATTTCTGCCCCGTTGAAAATGGAGACATGGTCATAGCGGCAGTAGTTATCACGTTCCACATCAAACTTCTCGAACATTACTTCAATAATCTGCAGCAGGAGAAAAACTTGTTATAGACCATTTGATTAAACACCACTCTATTTGTGGGATGATGTTATCCACACCCATTGAGCTGTTTTAAAAACAGTATAGGTAACTTCATGAGACTTTTTTTAATTCAACCGCTAACATATATTTTTTGCAAAATCTAATGTTAAACCTAATAATTCAGTGACATAATTAATTATTGTGTCACCGTTGTAACAGTTAATGGTTTAACAGTGTGTTTATCTAAAGGTCTATGGTCACTTTCTATTGGCTATTTACATATAATTCCTTCTTTTATCGAGAAATATGAAGATAAAACATTTTGAACATTCTAACCTGGTTCTTTGGTGCCACTATATGCCAGGAGCAGGTGACACCAGCTGGGTAGTCCTTCTCAGGCCAGTTAGGTGTTTTAAAAGTCCCAGAGGGCTTCTCCAATCTGCCTCCGCAGTACTGGTCCCCTGTGGAGGAACAGCTTGGTTAATCTTGGATGGTTATCAGGAATAATGTGCAAAATATCACTATGCTTTCTTAAAGGAAATGATCCAGATCTTATTTGCCATCTATTTAAAGGCAGGAATTAACCATTCTTCTATTTTAACAGAGGGTCTCATCGTCTTCATTTTCAGTATGAGCTCCCTAGAAAGCAAGTCACTTGGTAGTCCTATGCAGTGAGCACTTTAACAAGCTGGTTAGACTTTCAAACAATCTCTTAAAGACATGTTTTCTTTGTAATATGCACTTAGAGTGAAGTTTTCTTTCCAGCAAGCCTAAAGAAGAAGTACAATTTAGTACAGTCACAGAAATAGACACTTAACAAATGGAGGACGTTGGGCTGTGCAGTTCTGAGCTCAGACAGTAATGCCAATGTCTCTCTGCTACCATCCACTGTTTAATAGACATTGTTGTTTATGGCTCTCAGTTCTTTACAGAGAAACCACAAAAAGAGCGGATCAGGCTTTGCAACTCTGCAGAGAGAAAAAAGTTCAATCAGCTGATAAAAAATACTTTTCTGACCTGTGCTTTCTGGTGAAGTGCTCAAAAAACAGTGTGAGAAATTCCACATCAGACTGTGATGTTACTCTCTTTTTGTCCACACGCTGAAACCTTAATACCATAGCCTCATATCTCTAAGGTGAGTCACAGATGTATGCCAAAGCTGAGCTCTTCTTAAGGATTTCATGAAGCGACTCATGTTAAACAGCCTTGTTAATTTGCTTTTTTAAAAGCAATGATCTTCTGCCCAAACTTACACACCCCCAGGCCACCTGGTTCTCCATATCACATGCTTGGGTACTGGCAAGATATTCCTTACACAGCCGCTACTCCTGCAGCCCTGGCACCTACAGTATATGTAAGACATTAACATGAAACACGCCAAGAACCTTCTCCCTGCTTCTTCTTATGTGTTTCCCTACCTCTCTCATGTGGGTGAGCAGCAGAGAACGCAGCCAGGAAGCCACTCCCAGCTGTGTTGGCATCAGACAGCATCTGCAGGAGCATCTTGTTGCCTGTAGAAACCAGGGCTCCTGGCTTGAACGTCCCACAGAAACGTCCAAGTCTTTGCCCATTGACATGGCCGCTGTAAACATCCACATAGTCATAGCGGCACAGGTTGTCACTCTCCAAATCAATAAAGTGGAATGACAGGACCACCACCTTTCCCTCTGGCACCTGGGTCAGAATTTACAGAAGGCTTTAAGAGTCAATTTCACATGACTGATATTAACTATTGAGTTATCTAGCAGCAATTTTGCATATAGTTGCTTAAATAATGGTTTCAAGATAAGATTACTTTTACCAAACATACTTACAGTATGTGGACCAGGATATAAACTGCTCCAGCTACACTACTGGATTCACTGTTGTGATAAAGCCAGTCAACACAAGCTGCCTAAAACCAACTGTGAGTGTGGGTAAGTGTTTTTATAAGTAATGAGCTTGTTGGTTGGTGAAAGAGTTGTATTGTCTACTATTATATTGTGCAGCCATGGGGTGTGTTGAGACTATGACATTTGACTCACTGTGATTCTCCACACACATTTGGTATTTGGAGGATAAACTCCTGGGTACCCCTGGCTCCCGATTACTCCAGACTCTCCTGTGATGTTCCCACCGCATGTGAAGGTTGGTCTGAGGGGGGGAAAGCATGGTTTCTATTTTCCCAATATTAAAATGTTGTTGTGTTAAAACAATAAACATTAACAAACATTAACAACAGCCCGCGATTGATTTCATTCCTCGCCAGTGCGCCTAATGTCCTGAAGCAGCCCAGGCTGCAGAATGTTCCTCTAAATAAACTCCAGTTTACTGGCGCTGCTTTTCCGCAGGCTACATTGGATTCCTGACTCCTTTGTCGCCCTTAAAACTTTCAAATAAATTGAAAAAAATTAAATAAATGTGTACCTCTGCTGAGACTGCGCACATACATCTGTCAAGAATAGTAGACTCCATGCGCAAAATATACCGCACGTACTCCACATTGTTGGGTTAACGGAGCAGGCAGCGCGCCTGTTTTCGCCCCGTGGCATAAATGGCATTGTGCTCAGCAGCTCAAACTGCGGGGTAAGGACCCAGGAGTTCCTGCAGGGAGTTCCAGTAACTGCAAGCTGGAGCAGCTGAATATAGCGTTTGTTCCCCTTGGCAGGAGGGAGGGACAGACTACTGTTAAGCCCCCACCTCCACAAATAAAATAACCTATTAAGGGCGCATTAAAAAGTGTATTGTCATTAAAGTAAAAGGGGAGAATAACAACAACAACAATAACTTTATTTTTCAAAGTGCTTCACAACAGCAAAAAGCATATAACTCCTCATATTTAAAACACAAGCACATGTGTACATATTCAAAACCCATAAATACACATAGGCTTATAGCCTACATACGCAAAGGCTACATAGAATATGTTTTAAGACTAAGATATTCTCATCGTATCCCTCAAATTTGCTTGTTTAGTTGATACTAGATAGCATTTGTAATGAAAGAGTTTGTGAGAGATTCAAAACAAATAGGCTTCAAGAGGTTTGGAGCCCACTGTATAGCCTATAGGTCTACCAGTCAAAAGTTTGGACAGGCTTTCAGTTGGTATCTTTGTTTCCATTATTTTAAATGATGGGTATCTTACCTGCTATGAAATAACACGGTCAATAAAGGTAAACAAAACAATAGGCGTTGTTTTTAACCTTTGGTTTGATAACGGGTTTGCACGCTCTTTGCTTTATGCTGAGCACTTGCCTGCAATTCCTTCACGCTGTGATCCAACTAATCTAAAACCGTCTCAGTTGAGTAGGCTAAATATGGGTGGTTATGGGGGCCAGGTTATCTGAAAATTATGTAAAATAGCTGCGGGCTGCAGGTTGTCGGAACACCATGTGCGGATGACAGGGGCTAGATAGGCTCACTAGACTGGGTAGGAGAGCAAGAGCACCACCTGGTGGACTATATAAATGTAGTATGAGCAAGAAGCCAGCCTACTTAGTACACATTTCATTATAGCACATAGTCTATTTATTGTTGCCATTTTTCTGTCTTCGGTGAAAGTACTGGCTACCGAGCACTTGTCTTCAGTGCAAAACCAAAATAAATCTATTTAGCCTCTGTGGCATAACTTTAACACGAAAACAAATTAAATAAATGGTTTTTGATTATGTAAAACGAGATTTAGTTTTGTCTCTCAGAATTAACGCAAGTTTCAAACACGGTCCCGGTTGGGGTTTCATTTTCACGTATACAAACAGTGGCAGAGAAAACAAGTTCAACCATCACTGAATCGGAGATTGACTTTTTCGCCTGGGGTTTCACAATTGCCGCTAACTTGTAATCCACGATCGATTTGTTTCAGTCACACAAAAGATGGCGGACCGAGCGCCTGGTGGCTCTCAAAAATCTAGCGCTAAGGTGATGGTGGATTTACTGTTCGAAATTGCATTAGCTATGTCATTTCCATTGTAATGAAAATAACGTAAATAATAGTACTGCTGAAAACCGTGACTATTTACATACATGTAGCCTGCCGCAGACAGGAGTTACGAGTTTGCGCCACGGTAGCAGCTAGCTAGCTACCAACACGCTAAAGCTAACCTTTAGCTCTCCGGCAACACTGGCTAATTTAGCTAAGCTAGGCTAACGATTACCCACCACAATACTAGTCTAGGCAGTTGACAAAAAGAGAGTATTATACGCATATCTAATCAACAGATGCTAACATTGCTAGTCTTCAGAATTGCACGGCATTGTATTTCATTGTTTAAGTTAACGTTACCTAACGCATTCATTCGGTGGCACTGCAGCCGATACCGACTAGTTAGGCCTCTAGCTATTTTTCATCTTTTCTAGCAGCTTCTTGATATCTGGTTTCAACTAAATAGAAAATCTACACTAAATGCAACTTACAGAACGACAAAGTTTTGGACAGTGATCACAAACTACGAGTGGACACAACCCACTCTAACGTTATGCTTACTGTGAGATGGTGGTGTTACAGCAATGAGCACTTATCAAAGGTCGACGTAACTGTCACTCTTTAGTAAGGAACACAAATAATAATTATAAACACAGTGTAATTTGTACCCCGTCAATGATTTATGTTGTTTTTTTTAGTATGAAGTACCCATTAAGTCAACAAAGCCTTGTTTACATTGACAGGCGCTGCTTGAGAGTAAACTGAAGTCTTTCAGCATAGGAAAAATGGCAGTGGCAAAGAGGACACTTAGTAAGAAGGAACAAGATGAGATAAAGAAAAAAGTAAGTGTGGTCTTCTATTTGAAGAATATCTAAAATGTACATTATAAAGTGTCATTTGAAGTTTATTTACATGTACCTACTTTGATACTGGTATCTGTGTTCAGGAGGATGAGAGGGCAGCAGCAGAGATCTATGAGGAGTTTCTAGCTGCTTTTGAAGGAGGAGGGGAGGGTAAAGTCAAGGCCTTTGTCCGTGGCGGTATTGCAAATGCAACAAAAGGTTTTACAGCTTTTATTTTATGCTTTTCTGAAATAAAAGCAAAATAATTATGTAATTGGAGTGACATTTAGAGTAAAATTGTTCTTACTTGTTTCAGAGGAAGCAGCTGCTGATGACAAGAAAGGAAAGTTGTACAAGCCCAAGTCACGTTTTGAGACCCAAACAAAAAGCATCTTGCCTTTAGAAACACCACCACAGTTTTTAGCATTAGACAAAAGACATGTAAGTACTGTCACAGACAAGTAGCACCTCTTGCTGCTGCTGTAGTAAATCACTATAATAAGTAGCATTTTTACTGTGCTGATATTACTTCCACAAATATATTTCAGCCTTTGAAGAAAAGTAATGAAAAGGAAAAGAAGAAAAGCAACTTGGAGCTCTTCAAAGAAGAACTTAAACAGTAAGTTTCAACACATAAATCTGTTAAACATTTTAATTGTTTAGGGTGGTGGCAACCAGCAGTTCATAGAGGTTATGGTGTGGAATATTGTGATAATAATAAATTCTAAGGTTTAAATAATTTTAACATAGGTTGTACTGAATTGTAACATATTGTTCTTGCTTCTTTTTTTTTTTTTGCAGAATACAGGAGGAAAGGGATGAAAGACACAAGATGAAAGGACGTGTTAGTCGTTTTGAACCCCTCTCAGGCATAGATGGGCGACGTTCATGTAAGTGTCCTTACTGTCCATGACCGGGTTCCGTGCAGTAACTTGGCCTGAAATGGGCCTGTCCACACTCCTTACGCAACTCCCCCACCCCCTTTGACTACTTTTATCCTGAAACAAAATTTATACTGCTTTTCTTTCTTTTAGCGGATGGTTCTTCAAGAAGAAACCGTCCGTCCAGTGGTAATTTTGACTTAATATCGTGGCCGTGAATATCTTCATCTTGCTAAGAAAATATATTGTCTTGTCACACAGCTGTAGGAGATTGTTTCCTCTTCTCTGTCTCTGCAGTTTTAGATGATTGCGCGCCAGGTTCCCATGATGTTGGAGACCCATCCACTACTAACTTGTATCTTGGAAACATCAATCCGCAGGTGAATTTCTGTCTAATGAAGTATGAAGTGGAGAAGCGAGACACTGATTGACATACCTTTGCTGTGAGCAGGGGGACTTAATTTGAGCCTTTGCTTCATTAAGTAACTTTCATAAGTTGAACAGTAAAGATACGTGGGCTCAGAGGATTCAGATTAAATAAGCAAATTCAACCGTGAATTCAGTTTGGATAACTACATTTATTTTTTTCATTTACAGACAGTAGTGTATTGAAAAACAAAGCAGCATAGAACCCTGTCTCCATTTTAATAGCCAGTTCTGTCCGTAACTTGCACTGTCTAAGGCTGTGCTAGTGTCTTGCAGTATTTTTAAGTATCCTGGTTGCCATGCGGTTTCTTTTTTGGGTAGGGGTGTTGTCACCTCTATGGATTCTTACAAATTTGCACCTCTGATGTTTGTTGTAGATGAATGAGGAGATGTTGTGTCAAGAGTTTGGCCGATATGGCCCACTGGCCAGTGTGAAGATCATGTGGCCAAGGACAGACGAGGAGAGGGCTCGGGAGAGGAACTGTGGCTTTGTGGCTTTTATGAACAGGAGGGATGCTGAACGAGCACTCAAGAATCTAAATGGTACAAAGCAGTGGTTCCTAATTTAGCATAAATAAATTAGACACATATTGCTCTTTCTAGCCTTTGAATACATATATATACTTTCTTCCATTACAGGAAAGATGATAATGAACTTTGAAATGAAATTAGGATGGGGCAAAGGTGTGCCCATCCCACCCCATCCCATCTACATCCCTCCTTCCATGATGGAGCACACACTTCCCCCGCCTCCCTCTGGTCTTCCCTTTAATGCACAGCCCCGGGAGAGACTAAAGAACCCCAGTGCTCCCCTGCTTCCTCCACCTAAAAACAAGGAAGAGTTTGAGAAGGTAACTCAACATGTCAACCTAGGATTTTCTCATGGGTTATGGCACTGTTTTGTTAATTCTGCTGGTAAGATGTTAGCTTTTATAATGAGCAGTTAGTACAGGTTTTAATCCTAGTTTCTGTAAGTGATAGATTTAGTTTTTTGAATGATTTAATCTAGTTGCACTGTATATCAAAGTGTGGGTATAATGACATGTTAGCGTGTGGCAAATAGTGGTAGAGGTGTTTTTAGTTAATGAAGTGTTGGGGTGTTTGTCCTTTAGTGAAGCTGACAGCAGTAAAGCAAAGTTGTTGTCTTTTTGCACTTTTAAATGCATTTAAAAAAATTTTACCTGTTGCCTTTTTAACAATACTCACATTCTATGTTTATTATCTGATGTGACTTCACATACAGACTCTGTCGCAAGCCATAGTCAAAGTGGTTATCCCAACAGAAAGGTACATGTTTTTCTTTTTTAAAATTGGTATACAAATTAAAAAAAACATCCCATAATGAAGCTTAAGTTTGAAGCTCAAGTTTGATCAGTTGATCACTGCATGCTACAGAGGGCTGGTCAGTGTGGGTGAGCAATGGTTGAGGCAAACATATTAGTACATACAAGAGTGACTGCGAGTTTGGAGTTTGTTTTCTACCTTGCTTTTTCATATCCCACCATCATTCATATTTTATTTTTATTTT